TGCCGGACTCGCGGTCCTGGAGGCGCCTCACGGTTCGCACAGCCTCGCGGAAACGCTAACGCCCAGGAATGGCCGGTCACGGGACAAAGCTCGTGGTTGTTCTTCTTTTTCTTTTTCTTTTTTTTTTTTGAGTCGGAGTCTCACTCCGTCGCCCAGACTGGAGTGCAGTGGCCTCTCCCGGCCGACGCAGCCTCGGCCCGCTGGGCTCCGGCGATCCTTCCCCCTCAGCCTTCCTTTTCTGAGTCGGTGTCTTGCCGGAGCGCGGGGGACGTGCAGGGGCGCGCTCACGGCTCCCGCAGCCTCGGCCCGCTGGGCTCAGGCCGTCCTCCAACCCCAGCCTCCCCAGGAACTGGGAAGCTTGTTTTTACAGAATTCCAGCTGATACATTCAGAGGCATTCGGAATTAGAAAGTCTCACTGTATTGCATGAGAGAGATCCGGGCAGCGAGACCTTTAAGGGAGGTTGGCGAGGCCCTGGATGCCCGCAGGGCGCTGCAGACCCGCAGGGGTCGGTGGTTGGGGGCGGGGCTTCGGGGCGGAACCCGCTGGTCCCGTGGGCACTGCCAAGAGCAGAGCAGTCGGACTGGAGTGCCTCCCGCTGACAGGACGTTGGTCCTTAGTCACTCAGGCCTCTCGTTGGGATTCCCAGCTACGGGCATGCAGGGGAAAGGGGGCAGGAAGCAGGCCAACCCCAGGACGTGGGTGTCCCGTTCTAAGTGGGTGTCAGGACCTGCTTCTTTTTTTTTTTCTTTTGAGTTGGAGTCTTACTCTTGTCGCCCAGACTGGAGTGCAGTGGCACGCTCACGGCCGCCGCAGCCTGGGCTTGCTGGGTTTAGGCGATCCTTTCGCCTCAGCCTTCCAAGTAGCTGGAACTACAGATGCACGTCTCCACGCCTGGCTACTTTTTGTGATTTATTGTAGACATGTCACCAAGTTGCCCAGGCTGGTCTCGAACCCCCCGGGCTCAGGCAATCCTTTCGCCTCGGCCTCCCAAAGTGCTGGGATTACAGGCTGAGCCACCATTCCCAGCAGAGCCCTGTTTCTTGACCTGAATGCTGGTTCCATGTGTTCGATTTGTGAAAAATCATCCATCTCTATACTCAGACATGTATACCACGCCCGGCTATGTTACTTCAGTGGAGAAATTTTTAAAAAGAAGGCATGATTGGCAATATAGAAAGACAAGGACTGACCAGGCTCGAAGGCTCAGTCTGTAATTCCAGCACTTTGGAAGGCCAAGGCAAGTGGATTGCCTGAGCCTGTGGGTTTGAGACCGGCCTGGGCAACTTGGCGAAACCTGTCTCTACAGTAAATAATTAGCTGGGTGTGGTGGTGCATACCTTTGATTCCAGCTACTTGGGAGGCTGGGGCAGGAGGATCACCTGAGCCCAGTAGGTCAACACTGGGGTGGCTGTGAGCGTGCATGCCACTGCACTTCAGCCTGGGCGACACAGTGAGATTCAACTGAAAAAAGACAAGGACTGAAAAGTGCTCTTTGGATGGGAATTTTGGAATAGCGCTTGACAGAAGGAACCGTGAGGGCATGGATGGCAGGGCAAGACAAGAGGAGAAGCCAAGCTTGTGAAGGTTAGGAATGAACCTCTGTGGCGGCGAAGGGCAGGTGTCAGGGCAAGGTGGGGGATGGCTGGTTTTAAAGATGAGAAACGACACCAGTGACTCAGGTGGCTCAGGTCCAGGTAGAATTCTGAGGGGCTTACAGGATGGGCTTTAACTTTCTGCCGTCCTGGGAAGGAGCCTGGAGGCGCCTTGGTAGCACTAGGGTGTGGCCCTTGGCAGACAGACACAGTGCTGTTTCTTTCCTGTGCTGGTGAAGCTGCCTTCACAAAACGCTCCAGATACTGCACAAAGCAGCTTGACAGAAGCACGTGTCCTTCCCATTTAGTAGCCCGTATGCAGGTGTGTGGCTGGGGTGAGTGGGTGTTGGTGTCCCGTTTCATCTTTGGATAGAATTTCCTCCTGCCTTGGGGCCCTGCAGCCCCCAGGGGACTGGGGGCTGGCACAAGGCTCATGAGTAGGATAACGGTCGCCATCTGTAGGTCAACAGGCTCCTTTTCTAAGGACCTGACCTGGCAGCTGCTTACATCCCACTGGCTAGAAGTTCATCTCATGGCTGCTCCCAGATGCCCAGGTGTGCACTCGAGCTGGCTTGCTGGCTGGGATTGAAGCCTGGCAACGGACAGAGAAGGACCATCAGCCTTCTTGGCTTCCAATACCGGCTCAGTGCTATCCTTTCTAGAACTGAGACCTTTGGTAGTGTCCTGACATGGAGGCAGAATATTTGGCGGGTTCACCCTGGCACTAGCGTGTCAGCAGCCCTTCTGCTTGGGCTGCCATTTGCCTGCCTGGTCGGGCCAGTGCTGCAGTTGTTGAGAGAAACTCTTCCTGGCTAGCATGCCGGAGCAGTTTTCCCTTGGTTCTCCCTGTGGCGATGTTACTCTCACGTAGGAAGGCCTTCTCCTTCAGGGGATGTAATTCTTCATAAGACCCAGGCAGAGTTCTCTGATTTTGTCATTTTGTCTTTTTATTTTTGTTTTTCTGAGTTGGGGTCTCACTCTGTTGCCCTGACTGGACACTCCTCACCACAACCTCCAACTACTAGGCTCAGGCGGTGCTTCCACCTCTCAATTAGCTGGGATTACAGGCATGCATCACCACACCCAGCTCATTTTTTAATTTTGTTGTAGCAACAAGGTGTCACTCTGTTGCTCAAGGTGGTCTTGAACTCCTGGGCTCAAGCAGTCCTCCCTCCTCAGCCCCCCAAAGTGCTGGGATTACAAGTGTGAGTCGCCGCACCCAACCGTCTTTCTGCTTTTTATCTACTGAAAGGAGTTTCCAGATATAGGCAGATATGTAGGTCACTACGTATGTAGATCACTACAAACAGAACCTGAGAAAAAGCTAAGTAGTAACAGTCCGGTGCATGAGGCCAGCCCTCAGGACGGTAGAAGCCCCTGCAGATGAAGGTAGGGCTGGCAGCAGAAAGGCAGCCCTGAACCACGGAATGAGGGAGGTCACGGTGGTTGGCGATGAACAAGGCGGACAGGTGGGGAAGGTCGAGGAGTAACGGCCTGCAAGGATCATGTGGAGGAAGGTGGGAAGCAATCTTACACCTTCCACGAAACATAACTCAAAATGATCATGGACCTAAACATAAAAAGTACAAAACCAGAAACTTCTGACAGCACAGCACAAAATCCAGATGGCCTGGGGTTTGGCGATAACTTTTTTGTTTTTGTTTTTTTAAGTTGGCGTCTCACTCCACCGCCCGGGCTGGAGTGCCATGGCACACTCACGGCCATCCCAGTGTCAACCTGCTGGGCTCCCGTGATCCTTCCACCTCAGCCTTCCAAGTAGCTGGAACTACAGGTGTGCACTATCACGCTCAACTAATTTTTGATTTATTGTAGAGACGAGGTCTTGCCAAGTTGCCCGGGCTGGTCTTGAACCCTTGGCCTCCCAAAGCGCTGGGATTACAAGCTGAGCCACTGAGCCCAGCCTGGCGATAAGTTTTTAGATGCAACACAATGGGCAGGATCTGGGGATGAATTGCTTGGGACACCTCCCTTCTCTAAGCAGCAAAAAGTAGATCAAGGGAGTTGCAGAGCCAGGACCCATACTTGGGTCTCTGCCAAGGGCCACTGTCCATCCCAGGTCACAGGCTCATGGCAGGAGCCTGACGCCAGCCACCAACTGTGTCCTTCCCAGCTTTTCACCAGATCCCTAAGCCTGGAAGGAACAAGCCCAGGACCACCCAGATGCACCTCTGTTATCTTAAAACATTGAAACACAAAGTGCTGTACTCTTGTAATTTTCATTTTATTATTGCTTGTTAGTTGATTAAAATAATTCTGCTTCATTTACTTTATTTAAAGGACTGACTGCTATGTTGAATAAAATCTTGTTTAAATTTCATTGTTGGTATCTGTTAACATTTGATTACTTCCTACGAAGAAGCAAGAGAAGAGTTTAAATTCAGGTTCCTCTGATTCAAGCCTCGACTGGAAGTTGAGGACGTGCAGAGGTGAAGCCGAGTGTTTGGCTGGAGTCCCAGCAGCTGCCGGGTGGCAGAGTTCCAGTCTTTCCCCAGCTCAAGACGTGGGCAGATAGACGGATACTGCCCCTCAGTTCTTCTTACCCATTCACTGGCTTTCTTGATTGTCTCAAAAGCCCAGGGAATGTTCCTAGATTTGAAAAGATAAGTGTTTCAGATTTCAGAATATAATTACCTGTGATGTGTAATGTAGTTCTAATCCATCACATTATAGCAGACAAAATGACTGTTAGAATTAAGAGATTTCCTGAAAGTGGTTCTCCTTGACACCATACTGAAAGGTTGGACGGGTCTGAGCTGGTGCCTCGAGCTTATTCACTACGCAATCAGCTCCCAGCCTCCATGTGCCTCCCAGGCGCCCCTGCTGCCCACAGGAGGGACAGGACAGCCCACGCTGCTTCCAGCCGTTTCTGTCTACCGTTGCCCCTTTCCACACTTCTCGTCTACACCCTACCCAACTTTCAAGCACAAACTCGAGAATGCGTTTATAAATCAGGATTCTGTTTCTGTCTCCCCCGTGCTGCTCCAGGAATCCTCAACTTGATTCTCACCTGCAGAATACCTGAGAGTCCCCCATGAAACTGGCATGTTTGATAGGATCATGTAAGCCAGGAGCAACTTCCTAGTAAAAGATGCACGTCATAAACACGTCAAGTCTATCCACCATATGGTGTCAAATATTCAAGACCATCGGATACTCAGGTGTATTGAAGGCTCAGAAAAATCCTGAGGTTTTTCACAAACATGAATTAGCTACTTCACGTGTTCCATCATCTGCTGTAACTCATTAGTGAACAAGCATCAACATGAAGCAAAGTTTTTAAGAAAATTCTACAAGGGCATACATTTGGAAAGTTCTTTCCACGTTCCTGGTTTTTCCCTGTGAACTGGGAAAGGGCCATCAGTATGGTGGTGGTTGAGTGCTGGGTTCAGGCCCTAACTCTGCAGTCACACAACATTGGCTGTGCTATTGTGCAACTTTAATTCAACACTGGGAGTCTCAGTTTCCCCAATTATGATAATAACGTGAGGTCCTGTGGGTTTTTGTGGGGATTAGCAACACTCATGAATTTAACACGCTCAACAGTCGCTGGCACACAGTAGTCACTCAATACATATTAGCTGCATGTTATGATGGGATAGACATACTAAATAATGAGCATGCCCCAAGTGGCTACAAGACCAACATTTCCCCAAATTATTAATCTACTCATCACTACTAACTACTAAAAGCGACACAACTGGTTTTGAGTATTTTCACTAATTCAGCTGGCCTTCCCTCAGTCCAGTTGGCCTCTTTGGCTGACCATCACACTAATAAGAAAATCTTGCTCCCATGCCCCCGTGGAATGTACTACTGCATTCATGTTGTGCACATCATGGAACAGAAAATACAGAGAAAAGCTTAAAATATGTAATATGCAGCAAATAAAAAATATTTTAAACGGTTTTGTCTTATTTATTAAATTGTCAGCAAACCATTTTGCCCACACAATAGCAGTGACAGAGCAGGAGAAAATGTGCTGAAATAGACTTCAGTTTCGAAAATCTTGGTTTAATACTTCGTGATACTGCAATTCGAAAGTAGGCCTGAAATTATTAACGTTTGTTCTAATGGCTATCATAATTGGAAGAGATCTAAATGGAAGTACCTCTTTGGATGTGCCTGTTAAGTCAAATTCTAATGTTTTAGTCCCAAGACTAGTTGTTGGAAGTGGTTTTGATGTTTATTCAATAGATTCCCATCTTTCTCAAGGAGTTGTTTTGGCAAACTAATGAGAAGGTGTTGTTTCTTTAAAAATGGAAGTATGAATTACATACAGTGAAATGTTCAATTAAGAATTTTCTGTGCTGGGCTCAGCCTGTAATCCCAGCACTTTGGAAGGCCGAGGCGAGTAGCTTGCCTGAGCCCACGGATTTGAGACCAGCCCGAGCAACTTGGTGAGATCTCATCTCTACAATCAATCAAAACTTAGCTGGGCGTGGTAGCGTGTGCCTGTAGTTCTGGCTACTTGGAAGGCTGAGGCGGAAGGATTGCTGGAGCCCAGCGGGTCTACTCTGAGGTGGCCATGCATGTGCCACTGCAACAGCCTGGTTGATGGAGTGAGACTCCAACTCAAAAAAAATTTTTCTGGGGAACCACTAGCTTTATACAAAGAGAGACCCGAGCCAGCACGTTAGCATGGGTCCCCTCACCATATGATGCCCCGAGCTCCTTACACTCTGTAGAGTCCCCACCAGCAAGAAGATTCTCAGCAGACGCAGTTGCTCAACCGTGGGCTTCTCAGCCTCCATAAATGTAAGAAATAAATTCATTTTCTTTATAATTAAAAAAAATTTTCTGGGTAACTATTTTGTGTTTCACAACATTGGGAGTAGATAATTTAATCAGCCTCTGTGAGAGGATAAAAATAGTTCTACTTATTTATTTTAATTTCACCTATAAAAATGTATCTCTAGGAGATAACTTTTTCTTAAACATGACACCTAAAAATAGCTATCAATAATTATTTAATATCATAACATATGCAGGTAGGGTTTAATTTTCCCCTACTGCCTCATTTTTTAAAAAATGGAATGGGTTCGGCCAGGCGCGATGGCTCAAGCCTGTAATCCCAGCACTTTGGGAGGCTGAGGCAAGAGGACTGCCTGAGTTCAGGGGTTCGAGACCAGCCTGGGCAACTTGGTGAGACCTCGTCTCTACAATAAACCAAAAAATAAGCTGGGTGTGGTAGCGTGTGCCTGTAGGTTCAGCTACTTGGAAGGCTGAGGCGGAAAGATTGCCTGAGCCCAGCAGGTTGAGGCTGCGGTGGCCGTGAGTGTGCCACTGTACTCCAGTCTGAGCAACAGAGTGAGACTCCAACATACAAAAAAAAGGAGTGGTCTTGTTTGGAAAATATTTACATGGTTCTAAAGTCAAGCTGCAGAACAAAATACATTAGGAGAAACCTAGCTTCCAGTCCTTCCCTCTATGGTATCCTCTCCCTCTTCCTATAGGTGATAATATTTTTATTTGTTTTCCCTTTAAAAGAACATAAGCAAATTACATATACATTTGTATGTGTCTGTGTATATGTGCGTGTGTGTATGTGTGTATGCATGTATGAATGTGAATGTATGTGTTTATATCAG